GCATTATAAAATATTTCTGTTCAACAAAGACAGCATTTACGTTTTACAGCTAGTTTATTAACCTGACCTTGTAAAATAAACATTCCACTTGTGTTTCATGCAAGAGCAGCTGTGGTGACACAAACATTGCAAAAATGGTTGTGGTGGCTGAAAAGGTTATTTTGTTCCAACACTACCAGTGACCCTCTCCTGAAGGTTACTATCCTCATAAGCCACCCGTAATGAAGGGTAATGTGATCTCCCTTCCTAAGGGCTAAACCAAGTTTGTTTAAACCACCTTCATTTGCATCTTAAAAATTGGTCAGTTCAATCTGCACCAAAGCAGCTTTTACCTGCAAGAGCAGAGCTGGGCACATGGTTTTGAGAGCAGGGACACCTCCCTGTGCTGGGACTCCTCAGTGGGGTCAAAGGAGTAGGGATAATTCTTTGCCTTTACTACAACCTGTTTGTTGCAAAGTAATGAGCCGGATTTCAGTCACTGACTCTGTTCAAGCCTGTGATAAATCAGGAGTCTCTTCTCAGAGGTTTTTTTTCTACATTTGATTTAAATCTCTCTCTGCCTCACACTTCACTGGAATGTCTTGGAGGCTGGTGTTGCACTGCTTGAGAATAAAAAATAATGGGCCAAAACCAGTGAGATTATGGAAGCCTAACTGCTGATACAAGTCTGTAATTCACTGTTCACCATCCACCTTTGCTTGCTAAAATATGGCTGGGAGGGATGGAAGGTTGTCTTTGAAGCTCTTGCTTCTGCCAAGCAGACTGGAACTTCACCACTGTGCCATTAATCAAGTTTTAAATCCCGTCTTTTTCACCCCACCCGTTTCAGTTCTCTAATAATAAGGTTATTTTTTAGGTTGATGCTGATGAGATTATAAACAAGCCTAAAGGCTGTTCCAGTGTATTCAGTGAGAAGGAAAGACAGGCACCACGCAGGCATATGGGCATAAAACTCACCAAAGGCCCAGACTGTGCGGAGTTTGACAAGAACTGTCCTGGTAGGTCCTGGTGAGCTGAGACCTGCTAACTCAGCCCTAGTGCCAGGCAAGCTGTCCTGCCTGCCAGCACGTTTGAGATTTTCTGGGCCGCAAGAAAGCTGAATTATCAACTTCGAAATACTGATATCATGACGGGTATGAGGCAATCCAGGGCTACTCAGCCACTGTTACCATGACTCTGCAGGTTCTAGCTCTGGAAGACAAAACTTTTTTGCTGTTTCCTAGTGGCACACATCATATAAGACATTAAGACTAGTTTGCCTGTTAGGACTGGGGAGTCTCTCAGGAAGGAAATCGAGATTCACAGAGTTTTTATACACAAGGGAGGTGCTCATCATCCAGCTGTCTCGTATGTCCTACCACTACCTGAAACATCTGGTCCACATCGACATCCTTAAACCTAATAATGCTTTGAACATCAGAGTAACTGCCTTTGTGCGAGCCAGGCTGACTCGAATATTAACTTGCTGAGTTAGAAATTTAAAACACGTGTGTGGACAACAATTTATCAAAAATTGAAGGTCAGGAACCTGCAACCTTTTAAAGAAATTTCTGAAGGGACACCAAGCATTCTGCATATATATTATTATGCATTTTAGGAGAAAGTAAAGTTAACATAGCATATTTTCTAGGCAGGACTGCTCCAATAATGGATTTATCGACCTTGGGACTAACATCTGTCCCTGTGAGATTTATGAAACAGGTATTTTGCCCTGATTCCTTATCAGATTATTTTTTTTAAAAAAAAAAGGGGGCGAGGGCACAGGCAGAATAGGTTTAGGGCATATACACAGGTAAAACAGGCGATTTACTGATTCAGAGCCGGTTCAGTTAAGAACCAGCCCAGGTATTTTACTACTCACAATTTTTATTATTATTATTTACAGAACAGATTTCAACTTATCCATTTACCAGCATGTCATATCTGCCCTCTGCCTTTATCAGTAGGGATTATCTTTGTATGTACACAGACGGCTACATAGCTCATCTGTCCCTCATCCTCACCTAATCATTATGGTTCAACAAAAGGTGAACATCACAATTATGAAAGAGCTGACAGGATGTTTAAAAAGCAACAATAATCAATAACAGCAAATGTAAAATTTGAGTGGTTAAATCTGTGCCATTCATCACCTAATAAAATGAGAGTTAAATAAAATAGGAAAGAAATACTAGAAAGAAGTTAAATAGGAATTGGAAGCTGATTCTTCAGGATGCCAGTAAAAAACAATGTTGTGATCTAGAATATTCAGGAATATTATTTCCACTGAATGTCACAGCACATTACAGGGCCTCAACTTTAAAAAGCTCAGCAGCCTAGCATATTCAACACAGTTAATGAACAGGTGAATGTTAAGAGAATGACATTTCAAGAGAATATGTATGTTAGTTGACAACAGAACAACATAGATGTTCTTTGCTTCTTCACTATTTACTTGTGATTTTAATTTTTTTTTGAAGTGCCAAATTTCCAAGAATTACCATGGAGCAATCATCTGGCATTCCTTGTCCAGAATTCTCCATCTAGAATAAAGCACTCTGTTTCTCTAATTCCTGTACTAATGAACATATTCTTAAGACCCTTCTTCTTCAGTTCCCTGGCCACACACTACCTGGAGACACAGACTTTGTGGTGAGAAAGCTGGCACGGAAATAGGTTGAGTTTTGAATAGTGCCCATGCAAGATAGACACAAACCGTGCTGGTCAAGAACATTATACCACACAAATATCTGTCTCTCCTACATGGTTTAGAGGATGTCTTAGCTTCTGTCAACAAGTCAAGACATTGCTATGTGGCTACAAGAGCCACTGCAAAGCAACCATGGTAAAAGGCCAATAATTTTTTATAACTCTGGATAAACATCTTTGCCTGTGTTTCATCAGGCTTAAGGGAAAAGATCATGCATTGCAAATATCCAGACAGGTGCTCATAGGTTCTTACAGTGCTCCCAAATTAAATACCTGCTCCACGCTACTCCCATTCTGCTTATAAGGGCTGGCTGGGGTCCCTCACACAGCTTATTGAGATGGATTCTGATACATTTTAAAATGAGAAGAGGTATTATTAAAGTATTATTAGAAACAGCAGCTATTATGGTACGCAAACATCCATAAAATACACCCTACAGCTTTTCTCATCAACATCCTTGAGTGCTCTGCTGTGACTTGTGTTGCCATTATTAGTGTAGGGGTCCCAAAAGCTGGAATGCTAATCTGCTGTAGGAAAAAAAGAATAAAAAGCACTGCAGAAGAGTAAGGTGAGTGAGCAAGTGTCCTAGTAACTTCAGCAGAAGGCAGGCATTTCCAATGTGTCCTGGCACTGAGGTATACATTTAAGTCTTTCCATTGCTGTGTTTTACACCTTAAAAAATAAAACAACCAAGAAGCTCTAAATTGGCCAGTCTTCTGCTTTGCAATTTGCCAATCCATAATAGCTAGCAGAAAAGACTACAGGAAACAAAGATGGTGTAGAGGTAGGATGTGCTACCTATTAAAAAACCAAAGCTCTACCTAATGTTAAAGCAGTAAAATTATTCTTTTGAAAAATTAACCTGTAACTGAAATATTCAACAGCATTTCTGTTTGGTGTTTCTAAATAGGAAATTATATGTCCGGCTAACAAGTCAGCAAAATCAATCCAAATTAACCTCAGTCTCCAGAAACAGAGAAATCACTTTGTTTTCATTGCAGTTCATCCTAAATGGAAGAATATAATTTTTAAAATTTTAAATTTGTAAACTGCAAACTGGCTTTGCTAAGATCACAGGGAAATCTGAGGTACCATTGTGAAAGGTCTATGCTTGAGTAATTATTTCCTAAGCATCAAGTGAAGTACAACATAGATTTGGAGATTTGTGATACCCTAGAGTTTCTTCCCTGACACTCCAGTTAATGCAATGAAGGTTAAAACTATTCCCAGTCTGTCAGTAATTAGGTGACCCCTGTCATTTATCTTTGCTTCCTCTCTTACCCATTATCCCAACACCTGTTGCCTTGCAAAATGTCACCTACTGATAACTTTATAGACTTCATATGACCTTTGAGCACAGAATTCGTGTTTCCTGAAAATGGGCTTTTTTTCATCTTTTAATGGAAGTGAAGAGAGTGGGCTGATTCGTAGCAGCTGCCCGGAGAATCTATCCTGGTTCTTATGAACTACTTTTTGCCACTTCAGACTAAAGCAACCATGGATTATGGGCACGTATGAGAAGAACCAGTGTTTTCTGCAGCTACTGGAACCACTAGGAAAGAAACCTTTTATCTTCTCATTAAGGGATGGAGTGAATAAAACGCCCCGCATCTCAGATTCTGTAAATTGACCACCTCTGCAGCCTTAACCCTCATACTCCAGAACTCATGTGACTTCACATCAAGGCCCCATGTGCAGACCTGAAAGCCTCTTATCAACAAACCAGCAGAGATCACCCAATGTTCAATAGCAGGAACTGGAGCATGAAAACAGTTATGCAAAACAAAGGGATTAGTTTCACACTTCTGATTTATTAGATGGCCACAATATCAGTTCAAGAGAACTATTTCACCTCTGATATATACCTTGGTAATGAAAGTATGAGCCAATAAAAAAAAAGATTGGTGAACTAAAGGATAAGGTATTTTTCAAACCCTGCAGTGGTCCTTAAACACTAAACCATATCCAAGAGTACCTGTCATTCAAGTAAGACATACACCACATTAAGCGTCCAAGTACACCTCTTCATCCAACAAGAGTGAATTCTGGACACTGGAAAGACCATGAACTCAGCTTCAGCCTCCAAGAAGCCAGTGTACTGCTCAGAAAGAGTATGACTGGGCCTTCCATGGGAAAATGTGGTCACCTCTCAGGCAGTTTCACCACTGAATGGAGCAAACTTCCCAAGTTAGAATCTGCTTCTCAAGGCACTGAACCTTTCTGTCCCCCTGCCCCTTTAATTTGCATCTGTCAGACACTAGACTTCTAAAGCAATATGAAAAAAATTGCAGAATGGTAGGTACTTTCTTACCATAGCCAAAGGGAGAACTCCTACTAGGTCCTTCTGGCTCACGTAGATCTTGGAGATTCCTAGATCAGATGTTGTATCTCCAGGATATTCTACCTGCCATGTGATGAGCTGGGTCCCAGGTATGTCAGCTAAGTCTTCAATTTCAAAATCAATCTGCATAATTTCGGAGGAAGGACCATCCGCACTGCATCAAAGGAAGAAAAAGAAAGGTTCCATTCACACAGCTGATAAGACAGCAATATAATTGCTTTCATATTAATAAAACATTGGATTAAGGCTCTTCCAAAGAGAGGATATGGTAGGATGATGGATTTAATAATGAATTAATCATTTGCACTTGTCTTAAGATTTCAGGGTATTTCCCAAACATTCAAGTGGCTTAGTAACACTCTGTGACACAGATCACTGAGTACTGCTCCATTTCATGGGTGGAGAAACAAAAAGAAACCAAGATAAAGCTGAGGCTAAAGCTACAGCCTAAAATTCCTGAGTGCAGGGCTCTCCTTTTAACAAGCACGCTGTAGTTTCTCCCTGTTAAAGCAATGCATGAGCAAATCTAAAGGGAATCACTCCTTGAAATGGGAAACCACCATATTAAACATATTTTCTGCCTTTTCAAAAGGAAGGCATGGAAGAGAGGTCAAAGCTCAGGATGGGGTCTGTGAACTAGGGCAGCAGGGAGCAGAAGACTGGGAAATTTGGAATTAATTTTTGGCTACACTGCTAGCTTGCTGTGAATATCTGTTCGAAGCTTCTTTTGTCCTTTGCTAAATCAGGAATTATAACTAATTTAGCCTGTTATGGGAGAAAAGTGTTACAAAACTGGACTATTTAATATTGAATAATCCTGCCAGGATCCTTCAGTAAAAAACACTAGAAAAGAACAAAGAGTTACTAGATGTGGTTCCCCAGGACGCTCTGGCAGCACTGGGGTTACTGATACCTTATCAATGCTCCTTTGTCTTTACATGCTGCCCTTCCTAAAGTTACATGGTTCATATAAGTGAATGCCACAAAGCAGAAATGCAAAGAGGGAAAACTGGAAAGGGGATCATTGGTGTGACTTCCGCAAAGCTTGTTGTAAAATCAGCTACTCTATAGAAAGCAATGCAGTAAAGTTTCTATAGTTTATCTTGGCAAGGTGAGCTCTACAGTGCAGTGACATTTATAGAGGCAAGAAAATACTCAGTTTACTGTAAAGTTGTTGAGGAACACAGAATTTCTTGGCAGTGCAGAAATCCAGCAGGCACTGAGAATGACAGTGCTTTTGCTTTTGAAGTACTGAAGGCTGAACAGATCTTCAGTGTGTGTTTGGCGGGGAAAAAGCAGAATTTCTCTCAGTGGCACAATACTCAGCAACTGATTAGAGAATCCCAGAACATGCCTAAAACCCAGCAGGTTTTCCCAGCTGATCTGGAAAAAGAGCTAAAACTAGGCATTTGTGTTTAATGAAAACTGGTTATGACAACAGTCCCGGTTTGGGATTCTTCCCAAAATACTCAGTGGTTTTTTTTTATCATGCTGGCTAAATCCAGTGCTTTATCCTAAGATACTGCTTGAAAAGTTTAATCTGATCACTTTAAGGTTCAGATTGAAATGGATGTATTGAAACCTTGCTATCCCAGAGCCTCTATGTTTCCAAAATTGAACACATTGTGTTGAATTTCTTATTTCTTCATGTCAGGAAAGAAAAAATAGAGTACAATTTCTAAACTAACGCTGAATGCAGTCTTATTTCATGCTGACCTAGGTAGGATCAGAAAGCTGCTTTATGCAGCTGTGACTATTGAACTGCAGTTACCTTAATTGTACGAACTGGAAGGGGCAATGCATTGCCTATAAATACTTGGCGGTGTTCCTGTTTTATGCCTTATGTTCTGTCACAGTTTCAGCATTTAAAGAACTAATTGAATCTTCATACAATGAACCTTGGGTTTGCGATTCTATTCAGGGTGCCTTTCTTTATTGTTGCATTGGTAGCTGCTACTCCCAGTCACCGGCTTTGCAGAATTGGTGTTGACACTAGAAACGTGTCCTGTAACCACGGGGAGGGACTGCGGGGCAGAATATCACAAAGAAACGAAATTATTGTCAAAAGTCAATCAGCTTTATCTTTTTCAGAGATTACAAGAAAAGAAGTAAAATGATTAGGAGATGGGAAAACAAAGGAAGGAGTGAAAGGCAGTGGAAAAGATGGAGAGAGACAAGTGGAACACGGCCCTTGTATTCTTGACCTACAGATCCCATATAGCACAACTACAGTAATTCCAAAAGAATGGAAATATTTCTTTTTTTTTTTTCTTAAAAGCAGATATTTTTATGAAGCACTTCTTGTAGCCAAAAAAACCCAAACAACAAACACTTTGCCACCCCAAATGTGATTTGAACCAGTTCTCTTAGAAATACTAAACATCTTCAAATGACCAGATTACAAAGCACCTCAAAAATCAATAAAAAACTCATTACTGCTACTGAAGAAAGTATTGCATGACCTATGATCAGACCCAGGCTGTCATCACCAGGTCAGGAACTTTTGTTTAATTACTTTACTCATCACTTACTATGATGATCCTTCCATGTGCAAGTCCCATGGATCTGTGTCCCAAATTTACAGCTTTCCTAAGCAGTATTTACCAACTGCAGTTTCCCACAGATTAAAGACAAAATTTACCTTTTGGAAAGCACAGTTAGAAAAATTAAATGGAGAAATTTGGACAAAGAGTTCACTGACATAAAAAATACTTGCAGCTTCTCTTTTAAAGTTGAGGCTGCTTGGTACACCAGGAAGATTTCTATTGGGTCACTGGCCACTGGTACTTGAAATGATGGACTGCCTGATCCTCCTCAAGATCGGCATACACTTTGTGCTCACTAGAATGCAATAGCATGTTGGTAGCTTGTCTTTGATAACCCTGAAACCATTATTGCTATGAGGAGTACAGGAACAGTGTTAGTTACAATACAGGAGGATGGACAAACCTAAACGTTCACAACAGTAATCCAAGTTGAGTTGCAGAGTGATCAAAGCAAAATGGTTCTTGGTGCTAATTTAAACCCTTTACACAAGGTTTTTCTGTTTATAGTTAAACTGTAATGGAGTTCACTGTGGTGCCAATAAATCAAGGTCCTTGGCCAACTGCTGACGTTTGTGTCACCTGTCAAGTTTCCATAGAGTAAGAATCAGCCACTCTTCTGGGTCTCTAGGGACAGTACGCCCTGCAAGAGACACATTTCAAGAACAGACCCTGTAAATCCAAGAGTAGCTACTGGATGCTGGCAGTGTTGGTGAATTCAAGTATCCCATTCCCAATTTCACTAGCTATGGTATTAGTTTTGATCTTTATATAATGCTCACAAAACACGATTCGTTCTGAACCTACTAAAGTGACCGTGTATGTAATGTTTCTTATAATACAACATATGAAGTTTTATCACTGTCTTTAGAAGGCTATAATAGACAGAAGAAGACTAAAGCCATGAGTATGTTAAATAAGATATACCAGGAATGTTCATGAAAGAGCCTTGGGGAAAAGAGACCTCCACATCTAGGTCTCCAGAACATCTCTTGCAGTGGCCTGAGTCACTGCCAGGCTAAGAGGTGGAAGAGCAGTGCTCAGAAACAGAAAAAGTGTTTCCAGGGATAACTGGAAAAACTTTCTAGTGTGAGAGAAGGGAGAGAGCAGCACAGCTGACCCCATGAGACCTCAGGGAATTTGTGAAAACTGTTATCCTCATTTCACAGGGGAGAAAAATTAAACTGAAAATGACTTTCCCATAAAAAGAGGGATAAGATGATTTATACACCACAAAGTGTATAAGATGATTTATACACACAAGTGGAATAAGGTGGCATTTCAGAAAGAAACTGGTTTAAAAATTAATACAAATCTTTGGGTTAGAGTTGCCATACCAGATAAAAACACCATGCTAGCTGTTTCCAGCTCTGTCAGTTGGGATGTAGAAAGGTTTTAAGGCTTGCTATCATTTCTCCTGCTGCTACCCAGAGCTGGCAGTGGCAATATGCAATAAACGTAACTTCCTCCATGCGTGGTAGCAAATCAAACAGTAAGAGATGTAGAATAAAGGCATAACAAAGAGCAGCGAAAGCAAAGAACTGCCACTTTGTAACAAAACGCCACAATTTTCTCAAATAATTAATTTCTGACAGAGTTTTGGGGTTTTTATAAAGCTTTTGCTATGATATTTTCTTCAGAATTTAAACAATTTCACTAGAAGCAGTTTTAAGAAATTTATGTTGCCCACCTATTTTGGAATTGCAAGCCATTACTCCTAATCCTATCACTAAAGAGTACTTGTTTCCAATGAAAAATGAGGAGGTTAAAGGCAATCCAAAGGACCACTAGAGAATCAGCCTTTCCTTCTGCATAGCAGGTTTTTTTGCACCCTCTTCCCTTCTACTTAATAATCTCTCCCCAACCCTAGATCTCCCCTATATTGCACAGGCATTACACTTATGCTTCTCTACAGCAGCACATCCTCAGCAGTGCCAGAAGTCTGTGGACTTCATCATGCAACACTACTGAAACCATCAAACATATTGTCTTCCCACCTAAATACATTTTTGTGGGGGAAAGAAAAGGGAGAGGAAACTAGATGAAATTAAGGCAAAAAGAAAATCACAAAGAGAAAAAGAAAAAGTGCCTGTTACAGAAAGATGTGAGAGAGAGAAAAGTAGAAGATAAACTTCTGTGAAATGTAGATAAAAGGTAAATGTTAAAAAAATAAGCAACCAGCCTTGGAGTGCCTAGATGCATTGTGAGAAACACCTAAAATATTCCGATGAATGGGAAACAGAGCTAGTGTAGACCACAGACAAAAAAAAAAGGAAACACAGTTTCAAACTTCCTTCTCAGTTGAGTCACTCTTTATAAAGTAGTCAGGAAAGGATCCTGATAATCTTTTAGCTTATCTTCCCCAAGAAAAGACTGCCCATGTAGTCTTTCCTGAATTCTAAATAAATACCCATAACTCCAGTTTCTGGAAGGAGCATATTTTTATTTCTGAGTGGGTTTTTTTGTTTTGTTTTAACAAGCCTTTACATGAGAGGCAAACTGTTGTGGCAGGGAGACACATTTGCATTCCTCTGCATGTTTGCAGAGAGACAGAGATCACATCTCTTCTGCATAAACAGGTACTTGCAATGCAATAAACTGTCTCTGCTTG